GTGCACACCTGTAATCCCAGCACTGGGGAGGCTGAGCCAAGAGGATCACTATGAGTCTGAGCTGCACAGTGAGGCCCTGTACCAAATAAATAAAACATTTTTTAAAAAGATTTAAAGAATAAAGAAATAAAAAATCATCTAGACAACCAAAAATGCCCCCAGAGATTTTTCAAAACCTGTGTAGCAAGTGGAACCTCCACAGTTGAGAAGCACTGCCCTGATGCCCAAATGCGTAGTTTTAAGACACTTCCCAATTTAAGTCCACTCATTGAATATTAGTCTTTAAGATGGCATCTTGCAGTGTGAACTCAGTTCCCAGGAGGATCTAGCTCTTCTCAAGCCCTCTTCCTCCCAGTGGTGACCCAGCTCAAGGCTGACCATGCCATCTGAACATTTCTTGTATCTTGTCCTTGGCTCCTTGTCATGCTCAAGCACCATAATGTCTTCTTCTTCTTTTTTTTTTTTTTTTTTTTTTGATATGATACATGGGATGCCTGTAGCCAGGATTCCCTTTTGTTTCTCCAAGTATTTCTTCAGATATGCTTTACCTTATCTCCTGGCACATAAACTTCTTAGAACTACCTCTTCATCCCAGGGCTTTTCTGCCTCTCTGCCTGTAGGTTTATCACTCCCTTAGTCCACATTTCACTTGTGTGGCTAATTCCAGGTCATACTTCACATTTCAGCTTCTGAGTCATCGTCTTTCTGAATTATTCCTCTCTCTGAGGAAGCCAAGTCTGCACCAAGGCCCCAGCCAAGTCTCAGGGCTGCACTAAGTGCTATCAGCCCTTGCACTTCATAGGATGTGGCCCACATGTCTCCATATAAGTTCCCTAAGAATCAGAGATGATCTACATGATTGTCTGGGTTCCACTATGTTGATCCACAATCTGTGGCAGTATTTATGGATCTTTGTATTTTCAGAAATATTTTGTTTAATGCCACTTTGAATATTACACTCTCAGGCTTTGCGGAACCTCTGACTGTGTATGAGACTGATACACTGCCCATAGTGCCAAAAGGGCTACTTGCTGACTGCATAAAGGACAAGAAATATTGTTTATTTAGAAATGAATAAAAAAGCATCTAGTAAATTTTTTTTTCTGGTGAAAAGGCATGTTTAAATGCTAAGCTTGAGAGAAAAGTTATTTTCTTAGCCTGTTTTGTATAACTCTAGCAAAATATCTGAGTCTGGGAACTTTATAAAGTAAAAGGTTTATTTAGCTCACAGTTTGGGAGATTGAGAGTCCAAGACTCTGGAGAGGTATCACAAGGGTAGGAGTGGGTGGGTTCAAGAGCAGTCACACAATGAGATGGGAAATGAAAGAGATTCAGGGGCCACATTTGCTCGTTTTATAACAGCTTTCTCTCTCCAAAACTAACCAGGGTGTTATGGTTTAGTTTAAACTGTTCCCTATATGTCTCGTGTTTGTAAGGCGACTGCATCATGGGGGTCTAGAGTTGACTTTGTCATAGAAGATGGGGCCTGTTGGGGGTCACTGTGGATGTGAGCTGGAAGGGTATATTTGGTCTCTGACTCCTCCTGTCTCCCTGTTTTCTGGCTGTCATGGGGTGAGCGGCATTCTTTTGCTGTGTCTTTCCACAATATTATGGTGCACTGGAAAAAGCTTGGCTTGGGCTGAGTGCGCCGAAAACCATGAGCCAAGATAAACCTCTCCTTCTTAAACTGTGGGTCTTGGGTATTTTTTTTTTTTCCAAAAACAAAAAAGTGACCAAGACAGGGTCCTGGAGACAAATCCATCAATCCCTTCAGAGATGGGAACTCCTGATGGTGAAGTGTCCTTCCACTAGGCCCCAATGTTGTAGGCTCCACCACACAAATGCCTCACTAGAGCCAAGCTGCTGGTAGGTGAACTCCTGGGGGGCAAGCTCCAGCTGCACGCAAACTGTGACACCTGCGCTTCTCAGGTTTTAATCATTAAGCTGGTACTTTCTAGGGTTCAAGCAAAAGGTACCACAAGGCACAGCAAAATATGCACAGGGCATTCTGAGTAAATAATACTTGTCTCTAGGTAGAAGTCAGTACCAGATATGGAAGCATATTTTTGCTATAGCACACGATAGTCCATTAATAAACATATAGCATTAGATTAATAAACAAAATTAAGAAAATATTGAGTCTAGAGCTCTCTTGTTTTCTCTGTGTTGTAAATCCAAAACATTTTTTTTTTTTCACAGATATTTCCTGAGTGTCTTTTATAAGTGAGGCACTGAATTAGGAGCTAGGGATATACTAATGACCAAGACAGATGACATCTTTAGCCTCAAGGACTTTTAATATATGGGGGAAAATATTCAGTAGAAACACAGTGCAATCAGAAGTATACAATAGAAAGTTTAAAAATGTAGTAATACAGCCAGGGAGTTAGGTCAGCAGCATAGCACCTGCCTGGCTAGTGCAAGGTCCTGAGTTTGATTCATTGTACCAAAAATAAATAAATAAATAATGGGAAAAAATCACACATGACTTGAATTCAATCATGAGAACTTAAAGATTTAAAATTACATTTCTATGTGATTATAAGAGCTATGTCTAATTCGTACAGTATTTTATAAAATACTAATTTATTAGTATTTTATATACTTGTGATGACTGGAGACCCACTGATATATCCACAGGTGCTCTCTCATTCAGTGTTCACTGTGTTAACCAAAGTAAAGTAATTGATTTAAGTGTAATTTAGTTCATAGCACTAAGATCTTTCATGGTGTAGAGTCTGACGGGAGGAAGCACCACTGTAGGTGTCTTATCTGAACCTGGCTTTTGTGATAACGGTTACAGATACATTCCTGGGCCCATGAAGATGCAGGTACACTGGAGCTCATGCTGTAACTCAGACTTTGACTAATAAGGGAAATAGCATTAGGATTTGATGTCATGATGACTTACAAATGTTTCTGCTTAATAAAAATACAATATTTTGGCTCTAGCTCTTCAAGGTCAGTGAGGACTCAGGACATAGGAGAATCTGTACGGTAACATCCTGTAACTCAGTGGTGTCCCAAATTTTCTGATCAAGGAGATTATGGGGCCACAGAGGAGAGTGACTGGTGATGTAGAGTGTGCCTAAGGAGAGTCACGTGGAGAGAAAAATGTTCTTTTAGGCTTTTAGAGAGAGCAAATTTGTCAAGCAATGGTCGTGACTCATTCACATGGCTGACACTGACAAAGGACCTACAAACTGTGGTACAGGGTTTCAGGATAAATCCTGAGGGGACTTAACTGACCTTGTCAGATACAAAAGTACATTTTTTGTTGTATAGGTCTTGCTTTATCTTGGTCTTAGCCACCCAGCGGAAAAGTATAACCACGAGGTATTAAAATTAGGGCCATATTAATATGCTGACCTGTAAAAGGCTCAAGTCAACAACTTCTGACATTGACAGTTCTGCTGATAAGCCATTACTATTATAGACTGCTGGACTATATTGGGTTATTTGCTTAATTCACGGACCTACACTATTTGAATGGCAATGGAATTCCCATCTCTGACAAAACAAAACAAAAAAGGGGATATAAATGAAGGACCATTTTGTAGTGAAAAAAATATATATCTGTATATACAAAATAGGATAGATATGCAGCTACTTTCTACTAGTTCAATGAGAAGAAAGATTTGTACTAATAGTTTAGGCAAGATATCATGCCTGCATCTTGTACCCTGAAAAACTGCTAAGAAGACAACAGTATGCAATGTATTAATTATTGTAACTGTCCTACAGACCAATTTTGAAACTGCCTCATTGCTATTTCTTTCTCATTAAAATTAATAAAAAATACAAAAAAAAAAAAAAAAGATCCATGCTATGCTAGCCCCACCCCAGGTACATTGAGCTGGCTACCAAGCCCAGCCATGGTGGCACATGCCTGTGATCCCTGCGCTGGGGAGGTGGAAAACAAGGAGGATCACTACCAGTCAGAGCTGCACTGTGAGACCCTATACCAAATACATAAATGAAAAAATAAATGATCCAAACAAGAGAACGGAAACCAAACCCAAACATCGTGGCAGGCTAGATAATAGCTCTGCCTTGGAATTTTGCTTGTAGCAAATTATTAACTTTAACTGTTTTTTTTTTTTTTCAAAGTATGTCTTCTTCAGTCCACTAAAATGCAATTTTCATTAAGCAGAAATAAGCCAACTGTTTTTTTTTTTAGAGTTAATGACTTTTATATCAAAGAAAGGAAATAAAATCAGGATTTTTTTTATTGAGGCAAAATTTTCTTAAAGGCACTTTCCACTTGCATTATTGATTTTTTTTTTTTTCTGCTTAGAGAAAACTGAAAGGCTAAGTGGTAGACACCAGAAGGAGGAGGTTGCCAATACTATGAGTTTCCTAGTGAACAAATCAGGAAGTTGGGCATTACATAATAAGAAAGCCTATATTTATACCTCACACTAAATTGAAATTTAAATTAAACAATTAGTGTGTTTGCCATGCACTCACCTCTTCTGCATCTGTGTGCAGGTGGAGCACAAACTTGTTTTAGTGGGTCCTTATTCAGTGCACTATAAGGACATAAATCTATGATCTCCTTGTGTCAGCAGGGATCCAAACAAGGATTCCTGGTCATAATCATTTGAAACACGCTGCCTAGCTTCCTAACTTAAAGGAAATGAGAAATAGTCTTAGAAGTTTGGTAAAGTGGTTATTTATTTATTTTTATACTGGGAATTGAATTCAGGACCTTGTGCTTGCCAAGGAGGTACTTGTGTCACTGAGCTGTATCCCTGGCCCTAGGATGGTTATCTAGAAGTGAATAATTTTAGATATTAGAGATAGCAAAGGAAAGACTAATTTTTCACATGCAAATTTAGCCAGGAATATTATGATTCTACAGCCCCAGGGAAGGTAGCTTTGACAGGAGCTATCATAAGCATCTAAATAGTTTATTAGGGCACTCCCATTTTTCAAGTGAATCAGCAGCCATGCGACACGAAAACCAGATATATGTACAATAACACGTTCTTACTTACAGGACTTTAAGATTGTAAAGGCCAGCGAATGCTCCCTTGGGAATGTATGTCAAAGCGTTGCCAGCGAGGCGTCTGTGGGTTTCAATGGAGAGGGGAGACAGTGAGCGTGGCTTTCTCACGTGCAGTTCATTCCATTGTTATGCACATTACAATTCTGTTCAAACCACAAATGCCAAACGCAACCACAAAGAACCTGTTTTCTTACATGGAGTAAACAATTTCTATAAGTTTCTAATCAAAATGTTGCAAAAAAGAAGAAATGTAATAAGTTACCTATTCTATGATAAATCATTAATAGCTTATACTACTATGTATTCTTGTGGATGTGCTTAAATTTTTTAAACCAAAGTTAAACACCATATAGTAATTTTGAAAAATTTATAATGTCAAAATATGACTGTTACTGATTATAATGATTCTTTATAATGAAGTCAAGAGTAAGAATATTCTATTTGCAATTATATCACAAACAGATTTCCTTAGTAAATCTGTGAAATATGTAGACTCTTTGGAAATATGTAGACTATCAAAATCACTTTTTTCTAAACTACCAGAAAAAGTTATATTAGTTTAATTTATCCAATATGTTTTAATTAAGAAATGCTTTCAAGTATGGACAGTAAAGAGCTTAGAATGGAAGACACTAACATTGGTTATTTAGTGCAAAATTTGGACATCATTTATTGGTAACTTCTTAAAAATCTGCTTTATAATATTTACGTAAGTGGAAGATAGTCAAGGAGAGAAAATATGTGGAGAGATCAACCAGGCATGTCGTTCTGACCCCCAGTGCATTGGGGATTTGAGCAGCCACATCAAAGCCATTACCTAGGTCATGTGTCTTCCCTCTCAGTCGGAGGGAACCCATGTTAACTGCCAATATAAGGAGAAATCCTGTTAAACTTTCAATAGATTGCTTATACAGATTTGTCAGTAGTTACCCAGCCCACTTGCAAATGGGAAAATACTGTTTTTCCTATGCCCGGTAATTCATGTTCCCCAGTAATAATAGGAAAGGCCAGTTTGTTTGAGACAGTACCCAATGGCCATTGAAGATGAAAGGATTAAACCCCACATTTAAGAGATCTCTGCTAATGGGCCTAAAAAATGTTCTGACTAGTGTTTTTATTTGGCCAATGTATGTTTAATAGTTTCTTTGCCTTTGTCTTCAGATTCAAAGGTGTAATGAAAATATGTGGTGTCTATTGAGGGCCTTTAGTTAGAACCTCTGAAGAATATATCTGACTGCTGGTCAACAACTATGACCCATTTCAGCTTGAAAAAACCAGAGTGGTCATCGCCCATATTTCCTTCATGGCAGTTCGGGTTACTTCTTCAGAGGGGGGAGTGTTGCAGGCAGTTGAGTTAGACAGAAATATTATAGGCAGTTAGACAGGGCCAGGCCCTCAAGGAGACAAGGTGGAAGACAAGGTGACTTTGCAACTTGGAAGAGACAGACACTCCCATATGGGTCACACCTGAAGACCAAGACAAAAAGAGGAAGCACAGCTACATACTTCCCTAGGGATGGGCATTAGGGATTTATATCCTAAATAGTATCAATCAACTTGAAAGAGCTCAAATGAGTCACTAGCCCAACCCCCAACAGGAAGAGACCCTGTTCCATATTCGTGCCCGCTTGCTACATGATTCGCTTTCCCATTTGATACTGGATTTAATCAATTTTACCTGAGCAATGGAGCTTGTAATCTCATTGGTTGACCATAGTTTGGTCCCACCTCATGCCCAACTAAGTGAGTTCCCATGTCTTCTCCACCACCTTAGACCTGCCTCATTGCATGGTTTTCCTCTATAAAAGTCCCTGC